TAGTCGATCCCCTCTTGCTGGACGAAGCCACGCGCCACCAGCCGCACCTTGTGCTTGATCACCGCGCCCTGCTCATCCTTCTTGAGCTTGAACACCCATTTGAGGGTGATGGGGTGGTGGCCGCCGGGCAGTGGCACCAACTCCCAGGTGCGGTTCTGCTCGACGGACTTGAGCTCCTACTCCATCGCCGCCTGCCACGCCGGATCACCCTGCACTTCAGCATAAGTGGTTGGCTCACCGGCGTGCGTCAGATGAAGCTGGGCGAAGTGCCGCTCTGCCTGGCCTGAGGCAGACTGGTCGCCGAGGATGCTCGCCATCGTGCGGTACCGCAGAGGCTCATCGTCGTCGTAGGCGTCCAGGCGGTCTTTATCGTCCTCCAGCGGAGTCACGAACTCGATCTCAGACTACCGACCAGTAGTCGAGGAAGGAGATGTTGCTCTCGAGGACAAAGATGGTGTGGTCGGATCAGCTGCTGGTGAAGTTCCTGCGGCCGCCGACCAGTCTCCGGTAGTCGGAGTGGGTGCTGGCGTGGTCCGCTGCGGTGCCGATGTGGTCCGCTGCGAAGTATGAGTGGTCGGCTGGGTTGCCGACGAGCTGCCGTCCGCCGCCGAGGAGTTGCCGAGCTACCCCGGATTTGGTGATGGCGAGTGCGGCGGAGCTGACGAATTGGTCGGCGAAGCTGGTGGAGTGGTCAGCGAGGCAGGTGCAGTGGTTGGCGAGGCTGGTGCGGTGGTCGGCACGACTCCAGCCCACGCATACTCGACGGTGAAGTCGCGCAGAGCTGCCGCCGATCCATCCTCCGCCATCTTGTCCCACGCCCAGCCGCGACCTTCGTCGAACACCACGTCGCGCGCCACTCGCACACGCTGCATCACCGGGTCGAACACGCGATAGGCCATAGCCCCTTCAGCGTAGCCGATGAACACCCCCGTGAGCTGCGATCATCGAGCTTGCCGACATGGCCAAGCTCCTTGACGAATGCCAAGCAGCCGAACACGCGCAGATAGCTGACCGCCGGCTTGCACCCATGCCAGGCCTCATACGGCGTCTTGCCGTCGAGCGCCTTGGTTGGCAAGCGGTTGAGTAGGTGCACGGCGGTCATCGTGGCCTCACCCCTGTAGATCACCGGCATGACCCGCTGCTTGAGAAGGGCGCGGGCGGTGGCAACCACTGTCTGGTTTTGGCGCTCGACGACGCCGTTCTGCTACGGAGTGTACGGCACGGAGTAGTGGCGCTGAACCCCCTCGTCAGCGTAGTACGCCGCTAACTCAGCTGCCGTGAACTCGCCGCCGTTGTCCGTACGCAGCACCCGGAGCTTGCGGCCGCACTCCTTCTCGGCAGCTGCTTGGTTGCACTTGATGGCGTCCGCTGCTGCCGCCTTGGTGTCGAGCAGGACAGCCCACATGTATCGGGACACGTCGTCGACAAGGAGGAAGTAGCGCCGTCCTCCAGGTGTGGCCGGAGTCACTGGTCCGCAGAGGTTGGCGTGCACGAGCTCCAGCTTCTGCTTCGCTCGGAAGTTCGCCTGGCGGGGGAAGGGGAGCCGCCGCTGTTTGGTGAGGACGCAGGTGTCGCAGAACTGCTCCACATGGTCGATGCGCGACATGCCCCGCACCATCTCCTTGTTGCCGAGCAGCTTCAGGGCCTCGAAGTTGAGATGCCCGAAGCGATCGTGCCACCGCCATGCGTCGTCATCGCGACGTGCTGCAAGACACACAGGCTGCGCCACCTGCATATGGAGAACATAAAGGCGATTGGTGCCTCTGTTCACCTTAGCGAGGAGTCGACGATGGCGATTCCAGATGCGCAGTATCCCGTTCTCGATCTCCACGCGCGAGCCGTTCTCATCCAGCTGTCCCAAGTTGATGATGGATTTCCTCTGCGCGGGAATGTAGTAGACACCGGTGAGCATCCGGTGCTCGCCGGTCTTGGCGGCGAAGACGATGGAGCCGACGCCCTTGATCTCCACGGCGGAGGCGTCACCGAACTTGATGGAGCCTTGTACGCCGGAGTCCAAGTTGGAGAACTCACGCCGACCAGTCATATGGTGGGTGGCGCCGGTGTCGAGGTACCAGCCGTCGATCTTGTCATCACGGGGCTGGTGCCAAGGAAGGCGTGGGCGTGCGGCTCGTAGAGGTGGAGCAGGGCGGAGCCGACCGACGAGCGAAGGGGAAAGCTTGAATCTTTCTCCTCCCCCCTGTTTTTTGCCGTAGCTCAACGCACCCGTGCACCAAGAACAGGGCATGATCCTGCCCTTTTGCTTGCGCGACGTGGGCTTCCCCGCCGCGGCATGGAGGAAGGCGGTAGTCCTTGGCCCAATGGCCAGTCCTGCCGCAGTTGAGACAGGTATCGTCCCGGGTCGCTTTGCGCTCGGCGGCGCCGCCGCCATCAGCACCAGCCTGCCCCCGGGGTCCCTTGTCCTCCTTGCCGCCGCGTGGTCGGCGACGACTCTCCCAGGGCGATCCAGAGCCAGAAGCCTTGTCCTTCTCGTCGAAGGCCCGCCACTGCTCGGTTGTGTAGAGTAGCTTGCCTCCGGCGGTGCTCGGCTCGGTGTGAGGCGCCTCCTCGCGATCTTGCACCGTCTTGATCCTCCTGGTGACCTCCTCGATGGAGAGCGCCTCGAAGTCGAGGAGCGTCTCGATCGCCAGCACGATCTGGGAGTATTTCTTGGGGATGCAGCGCAAGAGCTTCTCCACCGCGCGAGCGTCGGTAATGTCGGTGTCGCCGTTCCGTGCCATCTACTCCTTCAAGCTAGAAAGGCGAAAGGCAAAGTCCTCGACTTGATCACTGGGGTTAAAAGCGAGGCCTTCCCACTCCTGCCGGAGCCGCGGCAGCGTCGCTCGACGGATGCGGTGGTCGCCGAGACGCGCGGTGGCGATGGAGTCCCAAGCCTCCTTTGCCGTCGCCTTGTTGGTGAGGGAGGCGTCGATCTCTGGCGGCACGGCGGCGCACAACGCCTCCAGCGCCCGCCGATCGTCGTGGAACTCAACATCTCCGAACTCGACCACATCCTAGATCTGCCGGGCCTGCATCTTCACCTTCATCAACAGGCTCCACTCGTGGTAGTTGGTCCTCGTGAGCATCGGCCACGGCGTCCCCGCTCCGGAGTCGCGGTAGACGGTCTGCACCACCGGCCGCGCCACCGACGAGCAGCCGCGGCGTCCACGGTGCCGCTCTGGTGACGGCGACAGAGGACGATGCCCTGCTGGGCTTCGCGACCCGCCGACCGGCTCCCGCTCCATCTTGACGCGTAGCGCGGCAACCGCGGCCGCCGCGGCTTGAGCCACAACCGCCGCCTGCGTGGCCGTCTCGACCGTTGCCGCAGCCGCAGCTGCTGCCTCTGCGGCAGCAAGGCACGTCGCGCGGTCATCGGCTCCTGCTGCTGCTGCACCGCCGGGGTTCCTCACTGCACCGGCAGCGGCAGCAACGGCGTGCGTTCTCGAGATCTGGCTGGCGGTAGACATGGCTGCTCACCGGAATCTCAAAAGCATCGGCTCTGATACCAGTTGTTGGCTAGGAACCACGAGATGGATCTCAGATCTAGATCGGATCTGGAAAGCCAGAGGGCAGCTTGGCATTGGCCGCTTGTTGGAATTGAAATGCAGTGGGATGTTCTTTACAATAGCACTGCCCCTGCTTTTATGAGCAAGGGGCTGAGGGCATCTGCAGAGAGCACCTTCTAATTTCCTACTTTACAGAAAAGGAAGATACAAGTGTCGACACTAGGCTTATCTATCACCCTTGGGGGCACCCCTGGCGGCATCTCGTGTCCTGGGCCGACAACTTTATTGCCGCCCCCACATGACATCTCTCCCTCCCTCAACGAGCAGCTCATCCTCGAGCTGGAAGGATGGATAGCGGTTGATGAAGTTATCGACGTCCTCCCAGGTGGCTGACGTGGCGGGCTCCCCTTGCCAATGTACCAGCACTTGGCGGACGCCTCTGGCAAGGCGAGTGCGGGTAGCGCGCTCAAGGACTGGTTGAGTTGCGCCGTGGTGGGTTGGTGGCACCGCCAGTGGCAGCGCCGGTGGGACGCCCACGAACTTCTTGAGCAGCCCAACGTGGAAAACGTTGTGGAGACGGGCGCGAGGAGGAAGCTCGAGGCGGTAGGCGACTTCGTTGATGATGGCAGAGACGCGATACGGCCCGTAGAAGCGAGGCCGCAGCTTTACTTTTGTGGCCACGTGCAAGGAAGCTAGGGCGCGGTGGTGAAGGCGCAGCCAGACCCAATCCCCGACATTGCAGCGGGCGTCGTGGTGGTGCTTGTCGTAGAAGCGCTTGTAGACAGCCTAAGCTTACTCCAGGCGAGCGCGGACATCAGCGAGGAGCTCGGCCCGCTCGGCCATGCTCGTGGCTACCGCTGCCACCCGCGTCTCACCCGGTTTGCAGGAGCGGATGGTGGGCGGGTTTTGGCGACGGAGCAGAGGTGGACGAAGAGTGCCTAGAAGCCGATACCAGGTTGTCAAGGGGCGTTGGCGCCCAAGGTAGGAGGTCCCTGGCTACGAAGCTCGTAGCCCAGGTTGGCAATGGCGCGGGGTTTCTCCCCTGTGTGCCCTATGATGAAAGGGACGAGATTAAGAGAGAACAGGGGGGATTAGGAATAGGTTTGTTCTTGCTTGCCCCATTCTCAACTCATTACATGATATAAATAGGAGTTTAGCTCCTTGATTCTTGCTCAGCCATTACTTCTAATCCCTCAACCAACTCCTAATTGCTATTGATCACAGCCACCTGTGCCTCCTCGGGCTCCTGCTGCACGTGTGCACCCTCGGGGGCACCCCTGGCGACGTCTCGTGTCCTGGGCCGGCGGCTATACTGCCGCCCCCACATGACATCTAAAGTGATTAAACCCAATCATTCGTAAATAAATGAGAAGAGTTTTCATTTGAATGGAATTGATTCATGCTCTATTCTTTCCTAATTTTACTATTATAAGCTTGTAATGCTGTGTGGTTGTGTTCTCATAATTATTTACTTAGTTTCTCATTATGAGTTTGCAGAATTTTGAGCTCCTCTGGGTTAACAGGAACCTTATCACCCAGTATTGCAAAGCTAACAAGTTTACAGCAGCTGTAAGTTGCTCATGTATTCTTTTGAGTGTCCAATATTTGGTGCCCATGAAAATAGGTCCAATCATACATTAAATTATGTCCCCATACAAGATGGATAAACTTGCTGCTTGCTACATTTCAGGAAACTGGATAACAACAACATAACTGGAGGGATTCCTCTGGAGTTTGGAAACCTTTCGAGTTTGACAATTCTAAACCTTGGAGGAAATAATTTAAATGGATCAATACCGGACTCCCTTGGACAACTTTCTAAACTCCAAAATCTGTAAGTCAGCCATGAGCTCATATTATCAGGACTGATAAAAAAAATCTAAGTGAGTGATAACTGATAACTTGTACAGGGATCTAAGCCATAATTATTTAAGCGGGAATATCCCAAGCTCTTTCTCAAATCTTCCGTCATTGAATGATATGTAAGTTTTTTTTCTTCATGGCTACAAGATGTAAAAGTAAAACCTGTCAAATTTTACTGCTGTCATACTTGCTAGTGCCATTATATTAGTTCATTCAAGTGAATAGTTGTTCAATTATCATGTAGCATAACTCAATTTATTTTGCAGTAATCTAGCATATAATAATATTGACGGTGAAATCCCACAGCATCTACTTCAGGTGGCTCAATACAAGTATGTCATATATCTGTAGCAAAGTAGATTACAGAAACAAAATTCATCATTTCATGTGTGCTACTTTACAGTATCCTTAGTAAATGATTTTGTCTTCCCAGCTATGCAGGCAATCACTTGAATTGTGGCCAAAATTTATTTTCATGTGAAGGAGGCAGAACAAGGACAGGTAATTACTAAAAAACTGGCAAACCATAGTGACAAATTGAGAACTAAATTTGGAGTGAAACTGAGGGCATTTTTCTCAGAATGCATGCTTGCTAATACATTCAGGTGGATCAAAAAATTCCAAGCTAAAGGTAGTTATTGGAAGCATTGCTGGAGCAGTCACTCTTTTTGTAACTGTAGCTCTAGTTTTGCTATGGTGGCAAAGAATGCGTTACCGGCCTGAAATCTTCATTGACGTGTCAGGTCTGTCCAGCAGCATAACTATGTTGTTAAATAATTACCATAGTGGCAATTTTGAATGAGGAAAACATATTTCCATGGATTGAAACGGGTCAATAAATAGCACTCTGAAAGAAAATATTTCTTTTATCTGATAAAAGATAAATATGTTCAACAATTCCAGGTCAGAATGATCATATGTTTGAGTTTGGGCAAATAAAGCGGTTCTCATGGCGGGAGCTTCAGATTGCAACCAACAATTTCAGTGAACAGAACGTTCTTGGCAAGGGTGGTTTTGGTAAGGTGTATAAAGGAGTACTTCCAGGTCCAAACAGTATAAAGATTGCAGTGAAACGGCTACTGAATGTGGACAGTCATGAAGGGGAAATGGCTTTCCTCAGAGAAGTTGAATTGATAAGCATTGCTGTGCACAAGAACATATTAAGGTTGACAGGATTCTGCACAACACCAACAGAGAGGCTCTTGGTCTACCCTTTCATGGAGAATCTTAGTGTTGCTTCCCGTTTAAGAGGTACAACTAAGCTATGATCATCACTTCCTCATTATATATCTTAATTCATACTAAGGTCATGGGTCATGGCTTTGTCTGTTTGGTTGTCCTTCGCTCAGAATCATCAATTGAAGCATATAGTTGTGTCAATGACGTAACATATTGCCAAAGACTAGGAGTGAACGTGGTAAATGCTTGATGCTGAAACTATGCAACATTAAAAAAGGATACATAGTTGAATTTTCTCTAACTTTTATCCAGCATTATATAAAAGCTTCAAACAACTTAGGTAACATAGTAATTTACCTATATCCTTCATCTTCTCAAATATGTTAACAATGATTGCATTGCAGATATAAAACTAAACGAACCAGCGTTAGATTGGTCTACAAGAATGAGAATCGCTCTTGGTGCTGCCCGTGGTTTGGAATACCTTCATGAGCACTGCAATCCCAAGATCATCCACCGTGACATCAAGGCTGCAAATGTCCTGCTTGATGGGAACTTTGAAGCAGTGGTAGGAGATTTTGGGTTGGCGAAGATGATGGACATAGGGAAGAATACAGTAACAACAGCGGTTCGTGGGACTATGGGCCACATAGCTCCTGAGTACATAAAGACGGGAAGGCCATCAGTGAAGACAGATATCTTTGGATATGGTGTCATGCTGTTAGAGATTGTGACAGGAGAGCGTGCAATTGCATTCCACCCTGACCGTATAGAAGAAGCAGGCGAGATCATGCTCATTGATCAGGTAAGATAATTACATGATCCTATTGGTACGAGTAAATCGGTACATATCAGGTGCATAGTGTTACTGAGAGGTCAAGAAAAGCTGAGAAGAATGCTGAGGTCCAAACAGAAATTTTGCAAACCGTAGTAATCTGAAATCTACTATCAGTAGCAACTAGGTACAACCATGCAATTATCTTACATTTTCTGATAAAACCTTGGTTCACATGTTCACATAGTTGTCCCCTCTAAGGAAACAATACTTAAATTCACGAGTTGATTCAAATGACTGCGAATGTGAAGGTCAAGCTATGGATGGAAGAAGGGCGACTACTCAACCTAGTGGATCGCAATCTAGGTGGCATCTACAACCTTGAAGAGCTGGAGAAGGTTACCCAGATAGCACTTCTCTGCACTCACATGGACCCTGATCAACGCCCTACAATGTCTGAGGTGGTGCAGATGCTGGAAGGAGAGATTGTCCCAGCAGAGCGGTGGGAGGAATGGCAGCTGGCTGAGCTCCAACGACGACAACAGCATGAGATGAGGCAACAAGGCAAACTATTCAACTTCAGTGAAGAGTCTCTAAACATCCAGGAAGCCATTGAGTTGTCATCTGGCAGATGAGCTGTCATAAGAAAGTGACATGATTTTCACTTGTTCCTTAAGTAGAAAAGCTATAAGGAAATTGCAGGAGTACGCACTACAAATATTGACTATTAGGAATAGTCTATAAGGTCCGGATGTAATAGCTTGCACAAGTAACTCCATCCATATGCTGTTAATACAACCATAGGACCACGCCTAGCTCAGACCATGTGTATACTAAGACTATAGACTGTTCTACATTTTAATTGCATTCTGTATTAGTGGATAACTCTGAAATTCTCTGTTGTGTGTGTGTAAAACTTAAAGCCTTGAATTCAAAATTTAGCTTAAAAAGCCAAAAACTTCAGCAATCATATAATGAGAACTTTACTCACAGCGTCCTGTATTGCAGTTATCTTATAACAATGGAATAGAACCATCAGTAGTAAGTATGGCATGACCACTGAAATGGAACCTTGTCCAGATTGACACCATACAGTAACTTTCCTTTGGACGAAGTTAGTATGTAAGTATAAAATACAAGAAACAAATGACGATCATATGGAGGTTTCAGAAAATAAACATGTGGAGCTTAGAATCAAACATATTCAATAAGGGACCTATAAAAAGAGCTAAAACATAAGACATTCAATTAAGAATTAACAAATGTGCAGAAATCCCACAATCAATAATCACTGTTTTTGTGTAGACAGCAACGGTTCGCTGAAATACCAGCAATCACAGAAATTTATCTAACTGGGGATGAAGAATCGACTTAGGAGTTAGAACTATTAAAGACTAACACCATCAACGAGGTTCAAATAATAGTTAAGTTAGAAAGTACTACCTCCATCCTAGAAAGGATACAATTCTAGAATAGTGTCCAGTCAAACCTTCTTAAGTTTGACCAAATTTATATACAAAGATACTAATATTTAACAATTAACATACTAAATATGTATCATTAAATTCATCATTGAATATATTTTCATAGTATACCTATTTGAAGTCATCAATGTTGATACTATTTTCTATAAACTTGTCAAAGTTAAGAGAGGTCGACTTGGACCAGACCTAGAATTTGTAAGATAATCTGCTTCTCTCTCCATGTGTTTTGCTGCAGCAGGGAGTTGGCAATAGGTCATCTCTTGCTGTCCATCTATCTAGGCTACTGTAGCAGTATGGCAATAGCCCACTTAGTCATGGCTTACCTCAGCCATGTAGAGTAGTTGGGGCTGATCTCAGCCCAGGTACTAGTGTACCTTGTAGTTGGTAAATCTCTACCACTACTTGTATATATACTCTATGAATTGCAATACCAGTTCAGTTGCTACACTTGTGTGTGCTGTGTTCTGTGGGCAACGGCAACTCCTTCTACCTCTAGCCAAGAGTTGTGTGCATGTGAGGGTGAGCTGGTTGCTCACCTGTGCAGGGAAGCCGGTTGCCAACAGAATTGCATCTTTTCTGGGACTGAGGGAGTAGAACACAGATAAGAAGCATCTGCATGTGCAACGTTTCAATTAGTGTAATATCAAATACATTTTTCAGAACAAGGTACCGTGGGTAAACTAACCTTAACTCCATCATACAGGATGTAGATCATATAACATTGATATCTTCAGAGTATTTAAGTAAGACTTGTTACCCTGTAGAAACATAAGGATTTGCAAAAGTTGCATCACACAAATTAAAATAAGGCTCAAATAAAATACTACTATGGTACTGAGGATATCACAATTTGTGTACCCATATGAACAATTTACTTTCTTTCTATTTCACATGGTTTATGCAAAAGCAGACCCCATACAAATCCTTAAGCAGCTCTTATCCATTAATCAATATCCGGTCATCTTGACCTTGGCCTGGATATTTTATAAGATCATCGAGTATGAAAAAGTAAAAATTTGACAAAGTAATACTGAAAAAACTCTATATTATAGTTCATGGCCCCAAATAAGAAAGGCATACCATTTACAACCAATTGGTAGGCATAGAAGCTGTGGTAAAAAGGAACATCAAGCGCTACTGTCAAATTTCTATGCTGCATGAGTGGGAGAAATTCGGATTGCTCTTGCAAATCAAGGAATAACTGCAACATCCTTTTTCTTAAAGCCAGAAATCCGCTTTGAGATCTTTTCAGATATTTCAGAAGCTAGAGCATATCTATTGCTTTCATAGCATGAATTGATGAAGCTTGTATAAGTTGCATGGTCAACAGCATAATGCTTGTCCAGAACATTTTTAAGGAAAAGACTAGCAGCATCCAAATTCCCAACAGTACTGAGCTTTCTAACTAGTGCATCTGCTGTATGAGCCTGTTGCCGTTTGTCCAGTCTATCCAAGAATGATACAGCAATGGTTGTCTTATCCCTCCTGCAATATTCATAAGCTAAGGTGACACAAGTTACATCGCATGGCACCAAATGTTTATCAAGCATTGTCTCAAATAATGCCCTTGCTTCCTCTAGTCTTGATTCCTTGCATAACCCACTTATCAGTGCCCCATAAGTTATAGAGTCAGGAAGGCATCCATGTTGAACCATCCTCTCAAAGACCTTGAGAGCCGAGGTCGATTTGCCAACTCTACAGTATCCTGCAATCATTGAGGTATAAGTTTGCTTCGTTGGCACTAATCCTATGGAAAGACATTTGTCAAAGAGCCGCTGACTTTGTTCCATTTGCCTCTGCTGACAATACATAGCAATGATGGTGGTATACGTGTCTATATCAGGATGGCAACTGTTCTCTGCCATCTGGTTTAACAAATCAAGAGCATAAGTTATGTGGCCCTGTTTGCAATGTTCAGTTATCAGTATAGTGTACGTCACCTTATCAAGATGCAGACCCTGACTAGTGGCCATTCGGAGCACCTTGTAAGCCTCTTGAATCTTTCCCTTCTTGCAAAATCCCCCAATAATGGCATTATATGTGTAAATATTGGGCAGGAAACCTTCCAGCTTCATCTTATTCATAAGCTCAAAGGCACGATCGAAGCTGCCTCCTTTGCAGTGCCCATTGATCAATGTAGTGTATGTGTTTGTGTTTGGGGCCAGTCCCTGCTCAACCATCCTCCCCAACAGCATCTCAGCTCGAGCAAGCTTGCCCTCTTTGCAGTACCCTGCAATCATCACAGTGTACGTGTGCACGTTCGGCTTGTAGGAGCTACTCTTAACAAGCTTCAAGAACAGGCGGAACGCCCGCTCTGTCCACCCAATCTTGCATAGCCCATCGATGAGCGACGTATGTGTGTACACATTTGGCTTCAACCCTTTCGCGACCATCTCCTCCAGCACATGGAACGCCTGCTTGACAAAGCCTCTCTTGCACAGACCATCGATCCACGCAGTGTAATTCACCACGTTCGGCGGCATACCCATCTCCGACATCCTCCCGAACAGCTCAGGCACGTCCCTGAACCGTCCCTGCCGGCAGAACGCGCGCACGACCACCGTGCACGTGGCGCTGTCGAGGGAGAACCCCTCCCGCCACATCGCCGCTAGCAGGGCGTCGGCCTCCTCGAACCGCCCCTCCCGGCAGCCCCCGAGGACGAGCGCCCGGAAGCTGCGTCCGTCGGGGCGCACGCCGCCGCCGCCGCCGGCGGCGGCGCCGGCCCGCGCCATTCCGTCGAACGCCTCGCGCGCGTGGGCGAAGCAGCCCGGGTGCCGCAGCCCGACGCGGAGCACCCAGTTGGCGGTCTCGACGACGAGCGGGAGCCCGTGGCTCCGCAGCTCGAGCAGCATGTCCGTGGCCTCCCGCAGGCGCCCGGCCTCCGCGAAGTTGGCCACCATCGCGCGCGCTGCCTCGTGCGCCATGGGCAGGTTCTCCCGCGCGACGAATAAGGTGGTGGCCGTGGCGTAGAGCCGCATGAGGTGGCAGAGGTCCGGGCGGGAGGAGAGGCGGCGGAAGAGCGCAAGCGCCGCCGTGGAGCCCTCGGAGTCCGCGACGGATGGCAGCGCCGCGATGGCGTCGTCGGGGGCCAGCGCGGCCGGGTCGAGGCCGGGGCAGGGGGCGGTGGGGAAGGCGGCGGCGGAGGAGGGAGCGGGGTTGGGAGGTGAGAAGGCCGTGGTGGCGCTGGTGGAGAGAGGCAGGGGCTTGGGGAGGAGGAGGAGGCGGCGGACATGGCGATGGCGGGGGAGCATCTCTGTCAGTCTGACACTGAATGGAGATGGCGCTCCTCTCTCCATCTGGCTTCACCTGAAGAAGCGAGACATACATAAACCGCCTTCAGAGCTAAAACGTGGATACCAATGGAGCAGAAATACGTCTCTCGATCCCGAATACGGGTTTCCACTGTAGATCTTGTTCACGATTTGGACCGTTGCCGTCTGTTGTACTGAATACTGATAGCTTTCGTCAGCCTCGCCGGCCGCCGCGCACCAATCGTGCTCACCCTGCTGCCTGGCGCCGCACCAGCCCTTCCAGTTCCAAACTTCGCCCAGCCCCGGCGCGACACTCATAACTCGCTACGAGGATATATGTAAATGCCTCAGCCTCTACAGACCGCCCTCCCGTGCCGCCCTGCAGGCGCAATCCCGCCCGCAGCCACCGCGCCCCTTCAGGGCTCCGGCCACTTCCTGTCAACTCCGGTCGCGTATTTTCCGAGGCGATGGAGTATAGGATGAGGGAGGCTTCTGCTGATGCTCTCATCCGAAGCTGCCGCTGCCTCCGCCGGACCTCCGATCTCCGCCTCATTCTCTCTCCGGTCTCGCGCTCCAGCTCCGCCGCGAGAGGGGGCACCAGGTTAGCTCCTGCTCTTGGCGTCTTCTGCTGCACCGGATTTCATAAGGGACCTGGAAAAACTAAAAAAAAAAGTGTCAACACATGAATTTTTTTCACCATAGAATTAAGATGCCTCTATCCTTCTTCTACCTCCAGCCTTCTTCCATCTCTAGCCTTTTTTTACCTCTAAACAATCACAAATCACAATATCATATATCACATCATATGAAATAATTTTTTTCTATGCAAAAACAGAAGACAAATTGGCCATCTTTAATCGAGCTCTGCCGCATTAATCAGGGAGGGGAGAAAAACTTGCGTTGGCTAGCTGCTGATGACCGGCACCTCTCACTGGACGGGACGGCCGGCTCGCCACGGTCCTTCCGTGGCCACGATCCGTGCGTACGTGCCGTCGATGACATCTATTAATCTGCAGCCTTTTTTTCGACTCCGGTGTCACCGTTGATCCGGCGCGCACCCGCTGATCGATGACGCCGCGAAAACAACCGCACGGCGTGCGTACGTGCCGTCGGATCACGAGATCGGACAGCAGCAGCAGGACAGCCCGGTGGAAAAAAACGAGAGAGTGAGTGAGAGGGAAATTTTTTTTTTCTAAAACACATGTATCATGTATGTTATATAGTATTTCTAAAAAAAAAATAGCATCCCTGCAACAGTTCCCAATTTATTCCCCACTTGTGACGCTGCTTCCTTTCTGCTGCAGTGCTGCATCAATGTGTGCGGCTCTCGAGTATATCGGTTATACTACTATATTACAATTATGACAACCCTACATTCCCAGCACAATGGTTACTGGTTGTCTGGTTGCATTGCATCATTGGATCGGGTTAATCGATCACTTCCCACTTGTTGGTGCTAATTTGGCTTCTTATGTTTTGCTTCAATGAGAGCTTGGACCAGTAGGATTGCTCAATTTATAATCAGAAGCCCATCAAACTCACAGAAACGTAATAACAATACAGAAATGCTCCAACAAGTCAAATTTAAAATTGAAAACAAAAACATCAGCACTATTTGTTTTACACAAATATTTGTAGGACAAAACGTTTGCTGAGTTTACTCATTCATACACCATATGACATAGGTTTCGCTCATTCATACACTTTACATAGAGGACACATGGATGGGCTGTTATTCAAACATAGTAATGGCATAATCAGACAATTGCAAGGACTACAGTTACAAGAGCTGTTTCAACGTTCATCACTCATAGTACTCATCAACTACTATTGTGGGTTTCTTCCGATGCATGCTTACTGAACTTCTGACATTAGACACTTTTTCCTTAGTAGCATCAGAAGCCTGCTTGCTGACTCTTAGATAAACTTGTTGAAGACTTGCAAGGTTTTCCAAACCGTAAGCACCTTCGCATAACCTGAACTGAAGTTCAAGTCTTTGAAGTTCTGGCATTGACCCTTCTAGGAAGCTCATCAACGGTATCACCGGTGCCGACAGTCTTAGCTGCTTACAACTGACAAATCCACCAGCCGGTACAAAGATCTTGCCTCCTGAATGCATTTTATTCTTCTGTAGAATCTCCACAACACTGCTATCATTTCCTTTCGCATTGATTGAAAATGTAAGAGAAAACAACTTAGAGAGCTGGGAAAGAACTTGCAAACCATCTGTCTGCAGTGAAGTTAACAATAAAGTTAACTTCTCGAGAGTCTCCAGCTCCTTTATCCATCTGGGCACACGAAGCAACTTGCCAGAAAGATCAAGTGAGAGAATGTATTTTGGTGGAGTGGATAAATCATCCATGGAATCAAGAAAGCCCGTGAAGCCATCATCAATTGCAAGAGACTTAAGGGAGTAGCCAGTTAGGTGCTCAATAGCAGGCAATAACTCGTTGATTGTATGGAAGCCTCTTAGGTTGTAGATGCTTAATTTCTTCAATCTGGTGAGGCTGTGCATGCTTCCAAGCTCTGGAGTTGAACCCCTATTAATCTCAATCCCTGATAGGGTCTGTAACGCTGTCATCTTTGCAATTTCTTCAGTGAATCTCAAGGAAAGACGTGTGGATTTGTTGCCACCAAGCAGATGGACCATTTTTTGGAGACACCCAATGGATGAAGGCAACTCTGTCACATTTGTCTCCCTAACATCCAGTGTCTCCAAATATTGGAGTTTTCCAATTTCTGATGGGAGCTTCTTGATGTACATATTGCGTAGGCTCAGGTACTTCAGTTGGAACATCTTAAAAATTTTCTTCAGCTGATTGGTATTTAAGTTCTTGCAACCTTCTAGATCCAACACTTGCAATATAACAGACTTGAATGAATAAGAAGGCAGATGATGCAAATTCTCAAACACTGTTAGCGATCGGACATGTGACAAGAACATCATGTTCTCTATTTTCTCTTTAATATCATCAGGATTGCTGTTATGAAGAGAAAGCCGGCGGACTTTATTGCTTGGTGTTGCTGTGAGCCAGTGACCTCCAATAACAGTGATAAAATTCTCTTCGCCTGACTTGGAGACAATATATTCAAGGATCATATCATGAACTTGGCAAGCCTTCACCTTGCCATTGGTGCTATGTTCCACTGCCCGGACTATATTTCTGCCTATGAGCTCACTGAAACTGTCCTCAGCAACTTCCTCTACTGTTTTCCCATCCTTCTCAGCAATGAAACCTTCAGACATCCATCTCCTGATTAATCGCTTCCTGTTGATGCTGCAACCTTTCGGGAATATGCTCAAGTATAACAAACAATTCTTCAGATCGGCAGGCAAATCATTGTAGCAGAGATTAAGAATTTGTGTCACGCCCTCAGGACTATGATTCTTATCCAAGTCTGAATTTAGAGAGTCTTTCACTGTTTCCCAATGGCTTTTTTCTGTCAGATCTCTTCTGGCTAAGAGCCCTGCCACTGCAACTGTTGCCAAAGGTAGACCGCCACATTTCTTTACAATTTCATCCTTGGTTTCTTGGAATTCTTCTGGCTTTGGATCAGTAACTGTTTCAAAGAACAACTGTTTGGATGCCACATGAGGGAGTGGCTCAAGCATGCAGATATGTTCTTGATGATGGCAGCAGGCATTTGCTACAGACTTGAACCTTGTAGTCACCACTATGCTACTTCCCTTTTGATTTCTGGGCAAAGATTCCCAAATTTTTTTCCATGACGGTACGGACCATACATCATCTATAAAGAGAAAGTAACTGCGAAAGGAAAAAAAAACAGATACTATTAGTGGGGTTCTAACAACATGATCGGATATTTGTCTGAATATTAGCATGGGCCCCGTTCGGCTTGCTAAAACTTGGCTGAAAAACACTGTTCTGGCTGAATTGTTGTGAGAGAAAAACACGGTTCCGGCTGAAAAAACAAGCTGAATAGTGCGGATTATAAGGTAAGCCGAACGGGGCCCATAACTGCATAATCAATACCACTCCTTGAACTGATTATTATCAATACCTTTTGTAATAACGGTTAGCGGATAGCCAACAACTGAAACGAAAATTGAAGTGATTTGTATTGCAGCTGATAGATTACATTTTGAATGAATGATTATGGAAAATTTAAAATAGTTTATTGATCTGTCATTAATTAAGTCAGTGTATGAGTACAGTGCTCACCTCTTATGTTCCAGCTGTGCTTTGAGCTTATCCTTGAGCTGTTTCTCACCCCATCTTTCGATTCCATCAGAGCGGCCCTCTGAGGTGCCAGTGCCGCCTCTGCGCTCGGGATCCTGCTGCGGCATGACCTGCTCGAGAATGCCTCTCAGCAGCGACTCCAGGTTCAGTTTCTGCGAAGCCTGCACCCATGCCCGGGAATCAAACTTCTCCCCAAACCTGCGTTGCAGTGCCAGCGCCATCGTCGTCTTACCGAGGCCACCAAATCCGACGATGGCGAGAATCTTCATGTCACTCTCTGACTCTATCAGCCACCGCCCACGCTCAGCAATGGCATCCTCCTGTCCCACTGGCTCCATTATACCGATGAGCTGCGGCGCAAAAGGTTGCAGATGATCGGTGGCATACTGGCGAACTGGCCCACCCTGCTTGTTGCCCTGGATGGGTCTTGGGTCATCATTGGGATCCTTCACGCCGTACCTCGTGCGGCGTTCACCGACTTCATGTGAGCGGTTCTTGAGGTCTTTGATCTTGGAGGCGATGCCCCGGCGCGCCCAGAGCGTGTTCATGGTGTACCACGCTTGGCGGAGGGTGACAAGGAGGCCCTCGCCGCGGGGCTGGCGGCCAAGACGGTGCGCAAAATCGTCGACGCAGTCCTCGATGTCGTAGGCGACATCACGGACCTGCTCGATCCAGTCCTTAGTTTGCTCGTTGTGGGTGGCCCCGGCTGCAGCTGCCCTGCCGAGCTTCCGGAGGAAGGCGTACATGCTGGCGAGCTCGTTGTTCATGTACTGAATCTCGCTGCGGACGCTGCTGATGAGCGTGTACTCCTGGGCGAGGAGGCTGCCGAGCTTCCCGATCAAGGATCTCATGGCACTCTCGGAGGCGCCCACGGCGAGCTCCATGCTCGCTCTGTTTTGGCTGATCTCACTTCAGCAGCGTCTAGATGTCTTCTCTTTATCTTGGCTGTCACCTAAGGTACTCAACTTCACAGGATTCCTAATAGAAAAGGTGCCATGATTAGTTGCTAAGAGCAGAAATTGCAAGGCAACAATTCTTGGCACAGAGGAAGAAGTCAAACATGTGAAGAATGTGCGTGGATTCTTTTGTATGCTGAAAATGAATAAAATTGGAAAGAAAAGTAATGATTGTACTCTTTGTCAGCTTACCTCTGTTGCAACTTGCAACTAGAATCTGGTCAGCTGCAATGTTGCACAAATTGGAGTGTCAAAGCCAGGATCCATGGCATAATCTTGGCTTCTGGAGCCATTATAGAAATAAAATCGCTCTTGGAGTGGGCGTCGCCCGCGGAAGACCCCTTGCCAACCGGCTTGCCGGCGCCCGGCGGCAGTGAAGCAGATCGACGAGGGAAGTCCGCTGGCGTGCGCTCCACATCTGTTCAGCTAGTGAATTACGGAGTAGTTGGGAGTGGTTCTGCAGGTACTAGATCTGAGCACGGGAGAAACGAGGATAGATTTTCTAGGGGCAACAGCATATCCCCTTTCCCATAAAAAATTACTCTCCGTTCTAGAGCATAGTTAATCTTGGCTCTTCTTGATACATAGCTTTTATCTTGTATTCATACTACTCCATTCTCAAAATAAATCATTTTTACAAATCATCTTAAGTCAAATTATTTCAAATTTGACCAACTTTATAAAAAAAAGATAACAACATCTATAACACCGAATAAGGATATTATAAAAATATATTTTATAATGTGTCTGTTAATTGGTGTCATAAATATTTGTATTATTTTCTATAAATTTTGTCAGACTAAAAATAGTTTGACTTAGAGCAACTCTAGAAGTTTATTTACCATTTCTTTACATTCTTACACTTGCATTCCCTGCAATCTTTGTTTGTTCAAGAGTTACAAAGATAAATAGACTTGGTTATGTTTAAGTGTGATTTTCTATCTATGTTTGTTCCTCGCTTGCTAGTCTCCATAACATACATGCCTTAGCTTAGTGTGATGGCCTTAACGACATTCTTTAGTAAGATCTTTGGTTAGTTAAGTAAGATCTTGATTAGTTTTAGGTCTCGCTCATGCAAGTGGTTGAAGTAGATTTTTGCATAGGCTAAGATTGTCCCTTTAAATTTAGAGCATAATTCAACACCTTTTTGGTCCACTCGGTCCTTACAACATATTATCTATGTCCAAGCTACTAGTAAGCTTTCGATAGGAGCAAATTGAGCATGGCTCAGATGGTTAGGTTCCTTCTTTATAGTGAAATCTGTCCATCCAGATTTAAGTCCTCGATTTGACGTGAGTGTTCGTATTTTCTAGATTTATTCTAGGGTTTAACGGCACTATTATTTCAGTGGTAGGCGAAGTATCCGTTGACAGCGAGACACCTGTGATGTTGACAAGATTTAATGGAGATATTCTTTTAATGATAGGCGAAGTCGCCATTGACAACGAGACAGCTGGTGACTTCGTCAATCTCAAAGACTGTTGAATCAGTCTTTCAAAGGTGATCATAGGGGTAGGGTGGTATATTGCATATGTTCATAAGGATGAGTGTGTGTCTATATTGCATATGTTCATTGGATCCCATACTACAATTACCTATAGATTAGAGCAACTTCATGAGTCTCTTTATACCCTGCACATCATAGAATTAGAGATTTTGGTGAAAAAATCCTCTCGAACAACTTCAACCACTGTGACCTTGAGCGCACACAACACCTTCCTATCATTGTGAAGGGTCGAGATGGCGGATTAGAGCGGGTGAATAGTCCTTTCTAAAACTAATCGCACCGGCTAACCGAAACAAATGCGGAATTAAAACTATTCGGTCTAGCCAAGACTACACCCCTTTATCTATAACTTCAAGCACCTAAACAATTATACTAATTATGCTACTAAGGTGCCGTGCTAGGAAGCTCACATAAACAAGTCTAGGTTGCAAGGTCACACAAACCTAAGCAACTAGCACTTTAAGCAAACCTGAAAGCTCCTACAAAAACTAGTGATGCAAAACGCATGAAGCCTAAGCTCACTAGCAATGCTCAATAACAAGGCTATACAAGCCAAATTAGAGAGCTCAATTACTTAGCTACACAAACTAAGCAGAGCTACTTCTATGCTACACAAGCAAGAAGGTAACTAGCAAGCTACACAAGCTAACTAATTACAAAAGCAACTACTCACTAGCACAAGTAAGAATAAGTAAATACAAGCTAGTGAATGGAAATTGCAAACCACCGAGAAGATGATGACAAGGTTGACACGGTGATTTTTTTTCTCGAGGTTCATTTGTTTGTCAACAAGCTAATCCCTATTGTGTCGACCACTCACTTGGTGGTTGGGCGGCTAATAGGTGTTCCCACAAACCTAGCCCACACGTTGGGCGCCGCAAGAACCTACCTACAAGTGAGGGTAGCTCAATGACATGCTCTACTAGAGTTGCTCTTCGCGATCCCTGCGGGGCGAGCACAATATCCCTCACAAGCCTTCTCTGGAGTCATGCACAATCTTCTTGCGTGCTTCAAAGGAGCCACAAGCCACCAAGCCGTCTAGGAGGTGGCAACCTCCAGGAGTAATAAGCACCACCGGCTTGCAACACGAACACCTAGTGCCACTCGAAGTAATCTCACAAAGCAACGCAATAGAGATCGCTCACTTCGCTATTGATTCGCATACTAGCAAGCACAAGTGAGTTAGAGGGCTCCCAAGCACACCTACACAAGCCACCAAGGCTTAAGGGTGCTCAGCAACCAGCCCAAGTGTAAGGTCGAGATGGCGACTAGAGAGGGGTGAATAGTCGTTTCTAATACTTAATCGCGTTGGCTAACCGAAACAACTGTGGAATTAAAACAATCGGTCTAGCCTAGACTACACCCCTCTATCTATGTTCTCTAGCACCTTGTAAAGATTCTAATTAAGCAACTAAGGTGTCGGACTAGCTAGAGCTCACCTAATCAATTCTAGAAGCAAGGTCACATAAACCTATGGCACTAGTACTTTAAGCAACGGGGAGCTCCTACACATGCTAGTAAGTAAAAGCACAAAGTCACCTAAGCTCACTAGCAATGCTCAATAACAAGGCAACCAATGCCAAATTAGAGAGCACAATTACTTAGCTACACAAACTAAGCAATGTGACTAACAAGATTACACAAACCAAATTAGTCACGCAAGGGAGCTACTTCTATGGTACACAAGTAAGAAGGTAACTAGTGAGCTACACAAGCAAACTAATTACAAGAGCAACTACACAAGCACAATGTATATAAAAGTAATTACAAGCTTGTGTAACGATGATGCAAACCAACGGGAAGAACAAAGTTGACACGGTGATTTTTCTCCCGAGGTTCACGTGCTTGCCAACACGCTAGCCCACGTTGTGTCGACCGCTCACTAGGTGGTTTGGCGGCTAATTGGCATCACCCGCCAAGCCCGCACGTCAGGCGCCACAAGAACCTACCCCGAAAGTGAGGGTAGCTCAATGACACGCTCAACTAGAGTTGCTCTTCGCAGCTCCCGTGGGGCGAGCATAATACCCCTCACAAAGCTCTTCTCCGGAGCCCCGCACAAGCTTCTTGCGGGCTTCGACAGAGACCACCACAAAGCCATCTATGAGGTGGCAACCTCCAAGAGTAACAAGCACCACCGGCTTGCAACTCGATCACCTAGTGCCACTCGATGCAACCTCACGATACAATCGCAGTAGAATCGCTCTCTCACACAATCGGATGATCACTATCAAGCATATGTGAGATGGAGGGCTCCCAAGCACTCACAAGCATGGACGCAAAGTCCCTCGAGGTGCTCAGCACCAGCCATGGCCGAGAGCACCTTCTATTTATAGCCCCATGGGCTAAACTAGCCGTTACACCTTCACTGGGCAAATTTTGTGATGACCGGACGCGCAGGTCGTTTGCACTGGACGCGTCCGGTGGTGACCGGATGCATCCGGTCGCCTGCGTCCGGTCGCTGCTGACCCACCACGTGTCCCATTCAAACTAGACGTTGCCGCCAACGGCTCTCTGACATGTCGCATCGGACGTGCTATTTGAAATGACCGGACGCTGAGCCACAGCGTCCGGTCGAGTCCAGTAAGCTCCTAGGGCCGACCGGACGCGTCCGGTCACTCCGGACTGAACGCAGGAGACGCAGCGTTCGGTCGAGTCCAGAGAGCTCCTAGAGCCGCTCTAGGCCGACCGGACAGGTCCGGTCACTCTGGACCGGACGCTCCCAGCGTCCGATCAACTGTTACGCTGAACACCGACACTTGCAGATTCATACCAGACACGTCCGGTATGGCGACCGGACGTGTCCGGTCGCTTACACTTAGTCGCTCACCTCGGGTCCAAATATCGGACGCGTCCGGTGACCATAGCGGACGCGTCCGGTCACTTCCGTCTGACAACCCGAAGTCTAGATAGAATACCGGACAAGCCCGGTAGACACACCGGACGCGTCTAGTCACTCTGTGACCAGCACGACTAACTCCTTTTCTTCACCAACTTCTTCTCCTTTGCAAATGTGGCAACACCACCATGTATATGTGTGTTAGCTTTTCACAAACATTTTTCAAAGGATTAGCCACTCAATCTTGCCACGCCACTCAATCCTAGCGACGATGCAAAGTTAGATCACTTGAGTGGCACTAGATAACCGATATGCAAACAAGTTTGCCCCTCTTGATAGTACGGCCATCTATCCTAAACCCGGTCATCAACTTCACTACACACCTATGACCGGCAAAATAAAATGCCCTAAGTTATACCTTTGTCTTGCGCATTCCATTCCATCTTCTCCAATGTCGATGTAACACATGCACCAACACGATCAACAATGATATGATCCACTTCATATCATCATGTGATCATATTGGTTCATCGATCTTGACTTTACTTGCTTTTCACTGTTGCCTTCGTCCATCGGCGCCAAGTC